GAAAACATAATTTCGAAAGGAGATTTTCAAGGATCTCTTTCTCTTTGTCTCCCTCTCTCTCTCTCTCTCTGATTCTCTCTCTCTCTCTCTCACACACACACACACATACACAGGAATTAATTAAAAAATCGAAACTTAAACAAATTAATTATTTAAACAAGAAATATATATATATATATATATATATATATATATATATATATAGTGTCTGTGTGTGTGTGTGTGTGCGCTTGCTATCGAGCCAGTGATATTGAACTTTTTCTCTTTGTTTTTTAATAAGTATAACTTTATTCTTACAGGGTCATAGATAAATAAATAAATCTATCTATCTATCTATCTATCTATCTATCTATCTATCTATGCCAGTCTCTTCATTATCTATCTATCTATCTATCTATCTATCTATCTATCTATCTATCTATCTATCTATCTATCTTTCACGTGAGTTTTAATTCAAAAATATTTATCTATATCTATTTATCTATTCTCCACACATACACACACACGAGCGCACAAACATACGCAGACAAAGACACACACACATTGACACACACACACACACACACATGAATGAAGGCAAAAAAATATCTTAGTCAAGACTTATCTTAGCTAAGATAAGTTTTCCTTTATTTATATTGTTCTTTTACAGATAAACTCTATCTGATATATATATATATATATATATATATATATATATATATATATATATATATATATATATATATATATATATATATAAAATGAAAAATGGCAAATCGGTCGATTCCACTACCTTGCTTTCAACCTTTCAGCATCTTAAGGCGAAAATGACCTAAATCTCCTAAAGATACCGAAAAGTAGTGGAATCGGCTGATCTCCAAATTTTATACTTAAAATCTCTACATGCTAATTTTTTTATACGTGTATTAAGCACTTTTTTAATACTACTGTTTACTGAACTAATTCAACTTTGACCATTAACTTTTTTATATATATATATATATATATATATATATATATATATATATATATATATATATATATATATATATATATATCAACGCATATATCCGTGTTAAGTTCATAAACAGTTTTAATTAGAAACACTGGACTTGTCAGCGAATTTATTTATTTACTTTCCTGTCTATGTCTTACATCCTTCTGTACTTGTTTCTTCCTTCCTTTATTTATTTATTCATTCATGTGTTCTTTCTTTCTATCTTTCTTTCTTCCTCTAGTGATTCGTTTACTTATCGTCTGTTTCTTCCCAGATTCCAAACCCCTAACCGCCGACTGGTGTGTCCTGCTCTTTGTTGGCAACGAAAACGAGGTTAGCTGCCCAGCTTCGGCCTTCCGATTCGATGCTATTGATTTTCGTCCATTATTGGCTTCCACGACGTCGTCAGTTGTGCTAATCACGATTAATCTTACACACAAACAAACACCCAGGATTGCTGCTTCTACTTGTTATCTTGCCTCTTGTTTCTGTCGGTTCCTCGTTCAAGTGTTTACCCGCGAGAATCCTTTCCGTGTCCTGATGTACACACACTGAGCGGACACGTACTTCGATAATCGACAGACAGACAGACAGCAACAGGAACAGAGAACGCGAGGGAAACGGAAGTTAGATGCATCGCATTTTTTAAATCATTTTCTTAGGCGTTCATCTTAAAAGAAAATTGTTTAATCCGACATTCGAAAACTATATGTTTTTTTTAAATTAAAATTTCTATAAATATACTTAGAGGCTGTTGATAACTTTTTAAAACATACTAAAAATGACATTCTCTCCATCTTTCTCTCTTTCTTTCTTTCTCTCTTTCTCTCTGTCTCTGTCTGTCTGTCTGTCTCTCTCTCTCTCTCTCTCTCTCTCTCTATATATATATATATATATAAAATTAATAAACTCAGATTTTCGATTTTAAATACATTGAGATCTTTTTTTACTAGGATCCACTTGGATTATATACCAACAGATCTGTTTTATTTTATATATATATATATATATATATATATATATATATATATATATATATATATATAAATATATATATATATATAATAAGAACAGTAAGATATATAATCCGGTGTTCTTGTTATTTTTTATTTTTAATTTTACAAAACAGTGCTCAATATAATTAAAGATGAAACATAACTTTTGCTTTTAATTTAATTATACAGTGTCACCCGGATATAAGAGAGTTGCCGGGACCGGAGAAGTCTCTTATATCCGGGTTTCTCTTATATCCGGGTTTGGTCTATTATATATACATTAACACAGGCTCTAATTTGGGACCAGGGAAAATCTCTCTTATATCCGGGTTTCTCTTATATCCGGGTCTCTTATATCCGGGTTTCTCTTATATCCGGGTTTCTCTTATATCCGGGTTACACTGTATAATTAAAATTAATGATTTTAGCTTCAATTTTTCAAACATGGTTATTACTGCGTAGAGAAAAAACATATTTTAAATCAGTTAATTTATAATATATATATATATATATATATATATACACTTAGAGGCGACAGTCTGTTTCATGCTAGATGCAATCGTCAGGCCACTAGATACAATAGTAGATTGCATCTAGTGGCCAGACATCTAGATTACATCATGCTAGATGTAATCGTCAGGTGGCCTGACGATTGTCTCTAGCATGAAACAGACTGTCATGCCTCTAAGCGTTGACTTCTATGTTCACTTTTATATTTACACACACTCTATCTCTGATATTCCATAAATTTAGCGCATCTTAAGACTATATTTCTTCATATATATATATATATATATATATATATATATAAAGGTCGTCTCTATTCAACACGTATAAGGACTCCCCACAGATTACTTTTCTTTATCTGTGAATTGGCACACATTTTTGGGTAAGACAGTGGAATGTTTTTTCCACGGTTTGGGATTCAATCTACTTTTTCTTAGACTGATTGCCACCCATAGCTACAGAGCCCGATCTACCCTGCTTTTTAACAACAGTTGAAGGCAAGGAGAACAGTAGACATTATGCTTTATTCATTGGCATTTGTGAACGCAACAGATAGGCCCAGAATTTGAACACGCGCTGATAACCGCTACACTACCCAGACATCTAATTATAATTGAAAATTAGTATATGTAGCCGGCATTTACAAAGTGAGTATAAGAAAACCCCTTGTAACAATAGCTTTAAACAGAAAAATGGTGACAATCTTCGATTGGCATAAAAATTTTGATTCTATGAGAATGCTTTTTGCATATTTGGGAAATGAGTAGCCCATATTCGGGAAATGAATAGTCCATATTTGGCAAATGAATAGCCCATATTTGGGAAATGAATAGCCAATATTCGGGAAATGAATAGCCGATATTTGGGAAATGAATAGCCGATATTTGGGAAATGAATAGTCAATATTCGGGAAATAAATAGCCAATATTCGGGAAATGAATATCCGATATTTGGGAAATGAATAGTCAATATTCGGGAAATGAATAGTCAATATTCGGGAAATGAATAGCCCATAAATCGATATAATCCTCAACGTACAAATTGTAGGCGATAAACTGCTTTATTCGTAATTTCCATCAATGACCTTCCAGATGGCATCAGATCTCAACTTGACACGTTGACCCAAAGTCTGTTTCTAAATGGGGAAAAGATTCTTGCTTCTATCTAACCAATCGCTATATTATTTATTAAAGGAGTCAAAGCGAACCACCCTTAGCTGCATAGTATGTGCTTCACCAGGGCTACGTACATTTTTGAATTTAATGTTTTTCCTTCTCTTAGACCGGTTGCCAGCCAAGGCTATATAGCGATGATATTTCTTGTTACCGGGGTAAAATAAAACCTAAGTAAGTTTTCTTATCAATAGAAAGTGTTATTGAAACGAGAAGGGTTAATACCAAAAGCCCGTAGGAAGAATTGAAGATTTAATTCACACATAAACGACTTGAATTGTATGTCGAGCAGTTTGAACAATGTAAATTGACCGAAACACTGAGGACAGTGTTGACTGACAGGTGTTCTACGCAGATGGAAATGCGAACCGTAAATTGAAAACATATAAAAAGTTGATTCAGGACATGTGTGGGGTCGGGGAGAAGCCACCCACGCTCACTGAGGAGGTTTACTGAGAGATCATGATATGAGAGTATGGGAGAAATGAATTCCCCCAAATTATGTCAATAAATACGAATGCGTGAATCGAATTCGCCAGTAGGGGGACGGGTCGGGACAGAAGAGACAAAGACAGAGGGAGAAGAGAGAAGAGAGACCCACGTGATTATTTGCCGAAGAGAAGCCTCCTACTTCAGCCTTGTGCCAAACTTAACCAACAACAGCAAACCAGATTTTTGTCAGGTCGACGATACTATCATTTCCGATTTAGATTCGGGTTGGGCTGATAATTAATTGCATGCAAACTCTGATATAAACCAAATATCGTACGGAGAAGCAGTATTTACTTTTGTGTTATTTTTTACCTGTACGTCATCGCTCTGCTTGGACCAGTTCGACAAGATGATACCTGCGACGATTCGATATTGGCTGCCTTATGATCAACCTTAAATCACAACGTGGGATAAGGTTAGCTCTGGATTGAAGCGGTCATTTCAGCGACCAGCCACGGTACTGGAAGTCTTGGACGATCGGTTACAATAGAACCTAAGGTGTCCTACTATTTACCCATAACTGGTGGGGGGGGAATGATGGATTCATACCGTTCCCAAGAGTATTAACATCTAAAAGAATGCACAATCGGAATTCGAACTCTGCTCTCCGATTGATCAGTCCCTGCCGCAATCCATTACTTTACAATACCTCCTTCTGCTGATTCTCGGTAGTGCAGTGGTGATTATCCCCGTCTGTAACACTAAAGATCGGGGTTCGATAGCATTTATTCTATTTACTCAAACAACATTATTATTATTATTATTATTATTATTACTATTATTATTATTATTAGTAGTAGTAGTAGTAATAGTATAGAAAAAAGAAAGCAGTCCGTCAAATGAGTGGCTCAGAGACATATCACGTGGAAGCACCTGTCCTCAGCCGATTACCGAAGTTAAGTAACGTTGAGCTTGGTCAGTACCTAGATGGGTGACCGTTCTGGAATACCAGGTGCTCTATCCATGAATGTGTAGGTAGGGTAATGAAAATCCGGCACGGAATGCGATAACAGGGAGCCGTGTTCGAAATCCATTCAGATTCGTTATATTCACTTACGTGTAAATACATTCGGGAGAGAGATGAATGCAACAATTCTCCCCATATATGTGGGTTAAATTGTAGGACGTTTCAGCGGAAAACCATTATTATCTCCAAAATATTCTTACAATTCCAAAATATGTTTTTTCATCAAATAACCTTAAAAGTTTGATACGCTATATATGTATATGTGTGTGTGATGTATATTTTGGCAGCAACATTTCTTTCAAACATTTTTCATTGAATACGACCGATAAGAAAAATTGAATAAATTTTTTACAGCATCCTAAGATTTTTCCGTTTTGTAGAAGTTAAGGAATATAAAAATTGAAAAATTGTCCATGATTTTTATTGTCCCAAACGTTTTAGGACACTTCTATAGCCATTATATATATATATATATATAAACATATAATTAACAGAATAGCTTTTTTTATCGGATTATAAATAAAATTGATTAATTATAGTAAATTGTTTTGTTTAGGTTTCGGTTACAAAACTGATATTTGCATTTCGAGAAAAAACTGAAATGAAAAATGTGCTTTAAAGGAAAAATCTAACCTTGCTTAATACTGAAGCTTTTCGTAGAGAGCAGTCAAAGCATGTCAGGTTAGGAGGTCAATTCCTGTAAAGTCGGGAGACGGAAGTTCGAATATTGCCGCGCATTTTTTCTTTGTTAAGTTTTCTTGAGTACACTGGCCGATAGACGAAAAAAATGTTTAAACTACAGGAAGCGTCTTCTCAAATGCGGGCAACCGTTCCCAATATAGTTTGATGTAATATATATATATATATATATATATATATATATATATATATATATATATAAAGAAGTGTCGTTTCAAAGTACCGGAGATTTCGTCAGGATTAGCATGTTCATCATACTAAAATCTGAGTCGAAACATTCCAAGCTGAAAAACTACAGAAAAGGGAGACGTATTTAAATAGAAAATAGAGGTGATGGTAAAACACTATTTTCTTCCTAATCTTTTATTTGAAGTAGTGTGGAATGTCAACATCTTGATTATGTCATTATTTTCTATTCTCAATGCCAGTAGCTGTTATCACTCTTTCCAGTATTGATGGAGGTTTCCTTCCTAAACTTTTATTTGAAGTAGTGTGGAATGTCAACATCATGATTATGTCATTATTTTCTCTTCTAAAGCCCAATAGCTGTTATCACTCTTTCTAGTATTGATGGAGGTTTTCTTCGTAATCTTTTATTTGAAGAAGTGTGGAATGTCAACATCTTGATTATGTCATTATTTTCTCTTCTTAAGCCCAGTAGCTGTTATCACTCTTTCCATTATTGATGGAGGTTTCCTTCCTAATCTTTTATTTGAAGTAGTGTGGAATGTCAACATCTTGATTATGTCATTATTTTCTTTTCTCAAGCCCAGTAGCTGTTATCACTCTTTCCAGTATTGATGGAGGTTTTCTTCCTAATCTTTATTTGAAGTAGTGTGGAATGTCAACATCATGATTATGTCATTATTTTCTATTCTCAAGCCCAGTAGCTGTTATCACTCTTTCCAGTATTGATGGAGGTTTTCTTCCTAATCTTTATTTGAAGTAGTGTGGAATGTCAACATCTTGATTATGTCATTATTTTCTCTTCTCAAGCCCAGTAGCTGTTATCACTCTTTCCAGTATTGATGGAGGTTTTCTTCCTAATCTTTATTTGAAGTAGTGTGGAATGTCAACATCTTGATTATGTCATTATTTACTCTTCTCAAGCCCAGTAGCTGTTATCACTCTTTCCAGTATTGATGGAGGTTTTCTTCCTAATCTTTATTTGAAGTAGTGTGGAATGTCAACATCTTAATTATGTCATTATTTTCTCTTCTCAAGCCCAGTAGCTGTTATCACTCTTTCCAGTATTGATGGAGGTTTTCTTCCTAATCTTTATTTGAAGTAGTGTGGAATGTCAAAATCTTGATTATGTCATTATTTTCTCTTCTCAAGTTCAGTAGCTGTTATCACTCTTTTCAGTGATTGGAGGTTTTCTTCCTAATCTTTTATTTGAAGTAGTGTGGAATGTCAACATCATGATTATGTCATTATTTTCTATTCTCAAGCCCAGTAGCTGTTATCACTCTTTCCAGTATTGATGGAGGTTTTCTTCCTTATCTTTATTTGAAGTAGTGTGGAATGTCAACACCTTGATTATGTCATTATTTTCTCTTCTCAAGTTCAGTAGCTGTTATCACTCTTTCCAGTATTGATGGAGATTTCCTTCCTAACCTTTTTTTTGAAGTAGTGTGGAATGTCAACATCTTGATTATGGCATTATTTTCTCTTCTCAAGTTCAGTAGCTGTTATCACTCTTTCCAGTATTGATGGAGGTTTTCTTCCTAATCTTTATTTGAAGTAGTGTGGAATGTCAACATCATGATTATGTCATTATTTTCTATTCTCAAGCCCAGTAGTTGTTATCACTCTTTCCAGTATTGATGGAGGTTTTCTTCCTAATCTTTATTTGAAGTAGTGTGGAATGTCAACATCATGATTATGTCATTATTTTCTCTTCTCAAGCCCAGTAGCTGTAATCACTCTTTCCAGTATTGATGGAGGTTTTCTTCCTAATCTTTATTTGAAGTAGTGTGGAATGTCAACACCTTGATTATGTCATTATTTTCTCTTCTCAAGTTCAGTAGCTGTTATCACTCTTTCCAGTATTGATGGAGATTTCCTTCCTAACCTTTTATTTGAAGTAGTGTGGAATGTCAACATCTTGATTATGTCATTATTTTCTCTTCTCAAGTTCAGTAGCTGTTATCACTCTTTCCAGTATTGATGGAGGTTTTTCCTTCCTAACCTTTTATTTGAAGTAGTGTGGAATGTCAACATCTTGATTATGTCATTATTTTCTATTTTCAAATTCAGTAGCTGTTATCACTCTTTCCACTATTGATGGAGGTTTTCTTCCTAATCTTTATTTGAAGTAGTGTGGAATGTCAACATCTTGATTATGTCATTATTTTCTCTTCTCAAGTTCAGTAGCTGTTATCACTCTTTCCAGTATTGATGGAGGTTTTCTTCCTAATCTTTATTTGAAGTAGTGTGGAATGTCAACATCTTGATTATGTCATTATTTTCTCTTCTCAAGCCCAGTAGCTGTTATCACTCTTTCCAGTATTGATGGAGGTTTCCTTCCTAATCTTTATTTGAAGTAGTGTGGAATGTCAACATCTTGATTATGTCATTATTTTCTCTTCTCAAGTTCAGTAGCTGTTATCACTCTTTCCAGTATTGATGGAGATTTCCTTCCTAACCTTTTATTTGAAGTAGTGTGGAATGTCAACATCTTGATTATGTCATTATTTTCTCTTCTCAAGTTCAGTAGCTGTTATCACTCTTTCCAGTATTGATGGAGGTTTTCTTCCTAACCTTTTATTTGAAGTAGTGTGGAATGTTAACATCTTGATTATGTCATTATTTTCTATTCTCAAGCCCAGTAGTTGTTATCACTCTTTTTCAGTATTGATGGAGGTTTTCTTCCTAACCTTTTTATTTGAAGTAGTGTGGAATGTCAACATCTTGATTATGTCATTATTTTCTCTTCTCAAGCCCAGTAGCTGTTATCACTCTTTTCAGTATTGATTGAGGTTTCCTTCCTAACCTTTTTATTTGAAGTAGTGTGGAATGTCAACATCTTGATTATGTCATTATTTTTCTCTTCTCAAGTTCAGTAGCTGTTATCACTCTTTCCAGTATTGATTGAGGTTTCCTTCCTAACCTTTTATTTGAAGTAGTGTGGAATGTTAACATCTTGATTATGTCATTATTTTTCTTCTCAAGTTCAGTAGCTGTTATCACTCTTTCCAGTATTGATGGAGATTTCCTTCCTAACCTTTTATTTGAAGTAGTGTGGAATGTCAACATCTTGATTATGTCATTATTTTCTATTTTCAAATTCAGTAGCTGTTATCACTCTTTCCACTATTGATGGAGGTTTTCTTCCTAATCTTTATTTGAAGTAGTGTGGAATGTCAACATCTTGATTATGTCATTATTTTCTCTTCTCAAGTTCAGTAGCTGTTATCACTCTTTTCAGTATTGATTGAGGTTTTCTTCCTAATCTTTTATTTGAAGTAGTGTGGAATGTTAACATCTTGATTATGTCATTATTTTCTATTCTCAAGCCCAGTAGCTGTTATCACTCTTTTCAGTATTGATTGGAGGTTTTCTTCCTAACCTTTTATTTGAAGTAGTGTGGAATGTTAACATCTTGATTATGTCATTATTTTTTCTCTTCTCAAGTTCAGTAGCTGTTATCACTCTTTTTCAGTATTGATTGAGGTTTCCTTCCTAACCTTTTTATTTGAAGTAGTGTGGAATGTTAACATCTTGATTATGTCATTATTTTCTCTTCTCAAGTTCAGTAGCTGTTATCACTCTTTTCAGTATTGATTGAGGTTTCCTTCCTAACCTTTTTATTTGAAGTAGTGTGGAATGTCAACATCTTGATTATGTCATTATTTTCTTCTCAAGTCTTCCCAGTAGCTGTTATCACTCTTTCCAGTATTGATTGAGGTTTCCTTCCTAACCTTTTATTTGAAGTAGTGTGGAATGTTAACATCTTGATTATGTCATTATTTTTCTTCTCAAGCCCAGTAGCTGTTATCACTCTTTTTCAGTATTGATTGAGGTTTCCTTCCTAACCTTTTATTTGAAGTAGTGTGGAATGTTAACATCTTGATTATGTCATTATTTTTCTCTTCTCAAGTTCAGTAGCTGTTATCACTTTTTTCAGTATTGATTGAGGTTTCCTTCCTAACCTTTTTATTTGAAATAGTGTGGAATGTCAACATCTTGATTATGTCATTATTTTCTCTTCTCAAGCCCAGTAGCTGTTATCACTCTTTTCAGTATTGATTGAGGTTTTCTTCCTAATCTTTTTATTTGAAGTAGTGTG